TAGTCGCAATGTTTTCGGAGAGGCCATCGCCAATGATCGGCTTCGGCTTAATGCTGGTGCATATGGTGTATATCCCTTTCTCACCCAGGATGTCTCATGGGGCTGAGCTTTATGCGTTTTTATTTTACCTAACCCATGCTGCCCCCTCTGACTGCTATGAGTTTGTCACTGATGCCCAGTACGTTGTGGACGGATGGGCATTGGGGTATGAAGCTACCACGCACGGATGGGCCACTCACGCATCCTTGTGGGTCCGTGTCCACCGTGCGGCTTCAGATATTGGGTATCATTTAATTAAGGTCACCAAGGTTCGTGGCCATTCTACTTCTGCTGGTAATAAGCATGCGGACAGACTTGCTAACCTAGGTGCTGACCTACACACACTGGACACGGTACTGCGCGACCGCGTCAAGCGCTCTGGATTGCTTGTGCGCAATCTTGGTGTGTATATCGGGCATTGTATAGCATGGATTTTCAAGAACGCGCCCAAAAAGGTTTGGGTGGTGGATTCTGATGAGTCCCCCGCCCCCACGGCCCCATCCCTAGTCCTCTCTGGTGCCTCCTCTGGGGCATTGCATGAGCACTTCTGGGACCCCTCCGCGGGTCGGTTTCGATGCTTGAATTGTTGGGCTAGTTCAGTTTCCAAGAGCTATTTATTGCGTACACAGTGTTCTTCTCCCACTGGCGGTGGGCACGTGCTCAGGCGGCTAAATAATATCATATTTTGTCGACGATGCGGCCGCTACTCGTGCAAGGAAGCAGTTGATTTAACTAAATTATGCACTGGGCCCCCTCGGGCCTCTGGCACCATCTCACGGCTTCGACGCATGTGTGATGGTCGTGACCCCTGCACTGGTCAACCAGTCGGTGAGGTCACTGCGGTTGACAATGTCAGCGTTATATATGCCTTTCCTGCCCCTCACGATGTCTTTAAGTTTCAGGCATTGTTTGATCCTGCATGGCTTCTAGAGGCCCCGTAGATTCTCGTGTATATTTCGGGGTGGGATGGATGTAACGGTTGTGGTGTGTGTGCTGCCCACCGAGCCGCACGGGCACGCCTAGGGATATCTGGTCTGTCTCGTCTGTCTGATGCTGGCAGGACTACTCGGATCCCCGACGCCAGCCGCCAGAAGTGTCGTTCTGCAGTACTCCCCTTCCTGGCCGCCACAGAGGGCCGTCTCCAGGAAGTAGGGTAGGCTTGGGATAAGTGGGTACAGGGGCGCTGAGAAGCAGGCGCCCGTTCCGCCTGCGCCCACTTATCCCGTCTGTGTTTTTGTCATTCCTCCCCTGGCCAGGCTCGCAAAGAGAAGACTCTTGCCTGCCCGCCACGCGGGGATAGCTGTGCACGCCTCTCTGTCTGTGCTTCCTTCTCTCTACAGTCGGACAGCCGGACAGTCGAAGTGTAGGATAGGCTTGGGATAAGTGGGTACAGAGGCGCTGAGAAGCAGGCACCCGTTCCGCCTGCGCCTACTTATCCCTTCTGTGCTCTTGTCATTCCTCCCCTGGCCAGGCTCGCAAAGAGAGAAGACTCTTGCCCGCCCGCCGCTTGGGGTTTATCTGTGCAGCCTCTCTGTCTATGCTTTCTCCCTGCAGTCGGACAGTCGGACATAGGCTAAGCTTAGGATGAGTGGGCACAGAGGCGCTGAGAAGCAGGCACCCGCACCGCCCGCGCCCACTCATCCTTTATGTGCTCCTTTTGCCCCCCCCCAGCCCAGGCTCGCGAAGAGAGGAAAGGGCTCTCCGCCGCCTTGCTGGTCTGTTGTATAATGTGCTGCCTGGCAGGTTGAGGCTGGAAGCCCAGGGGCCAGGACGCGGGCTTCAAATTGTTTCACCAGTCTTGCCAGCATCGCGTGTCTCGGGCCCTCGAGTTTTCGTTGTCCCTTTCTGCTCGGGTCGGTCCCTCGCTCGGCTCTGTTCGGGTCCTGGTCCGTCCCTCGCTTCTTTCGGCCCTTCTTCGGGCCCCTCGCTCGTCGTTTCGGCGCCACGGGCAGGAGTGTTCGGCAGACGATCACCCGCGCGCAAATCAAAAAGTAGGGCGGAAATTGCTGCGCCCAACATAAAACAGGGCGGAGATCCACAGAAGCAGCAACAGAAAAGTAGGGCGGAAATTGGCATCAGCGGGGCTTGAAAAGTAAGGCGGAAATTCCAAGCCCCACTTACGAATTTCCCCAAAGTAGGGCGGATCCGGAGTCAGGGTCATGGAGGATGACGACTAATAAATGACCGGGGGTCGTGTTCGCGCGGCGGCGCCCGGGATGGCGATTGGAAAAAACTGGCCGAGGGCTGGGCAACTATTTTTTTTCAATCGTTCTTCTCCAGTCAGAAGCTTGTGCAGAAATAGCAGAAAACTACGTTTTTAATCGTTCTCTCCCATTCTTTAATTCGTCGTCATCCCGCATTAGGTCGGGCCTGTCCCCCTACAGGGGGATTTGGGACGAGAAATGAAACATGTGCGAGACATATTGAAAAGATGCCCCAAAAATGCTTCAAAAATAGTCCCCGGACTATTTTCTGACTATTTTTGTTTCTTCCCCGTGTAGAGGGACATGCCCGACTTAAAGTTAGGTGCAGTCAACCTGCACAGTCTTGGGGAAACGTAAGGCTCGAGCAGGCCAGAACTCGGGTTTGCCGACGCCTTGTGACGAGCGCGTTTCCTGGGTTCTGACGGTCCAGTTCTCGTGGGGTGCTTGCAGCAGGAGTTCGCGTCAGGTTTCAGACTGGGTCTCGTCATTTTCATGATGGCCCCGTCAGGCCAACCCGAGTCCGCAGAACCCGAGTCTTACGTCTCCCCGATAGTAAGGATGAGCGACTTTCCAAGGTTGCGCTCTGCATCCTTGCCCCTTCGTCCCATCGTTAGAGCGACTTTCGACGGCCAAGCTCGTTCGAACAGCCTTAACCTGGCCATCCAATGCCCTCGCATTCTTACACGTCCTCATGACACGGGTTGACTGCAGGTGGGCGTTTTCTGCTTCTTCCCAGGGTGGCGCTCGTTCCCTTGCCCCCCCCCCTCCCCCCCTGGGTAACACTAGCGATCGTACTGGAAGGGGGGGGGGCCTGGACCCTCGCCGACATGCTGTGGCGCAAACGGGCGACTGATGCGCTGGTGGCGCGGCCGCACCCTGGCGGGTGCACGCCGCGGCCGCCGTTGCCATTGCCCTCCCGCCCGAACTCCTCCCCCTCCCCCGCTCCCGCAGGCAACGACCGCTACCCGAGAACGCAGAGGAGCAGTCACTGGGCGCCTGGCGTGCCCTCGCAGCTCGGTGGCAAGTCGTGGGATCTCCGCGTGCCCCCGCAAGTGCCGCCGCGCCATTTCGGCTAAGGCTACTTGATGGTCGCCACCAGTGTCTCCACGCCACCGAGTTGGGAGCTTCGTTTCTGGCTCTGCTTTTGAGTGGCTGCCCGCGCGCTCGTTTCGCTTGCCTCTCTTCTCTTGCTGCCTAGTCGCGGCCCAGCTAGTGTTCGGACGGCTCTCGACCTGCTTCGCAAGCCCGCAGACCAAAAAACAATGTTCCTCGCAATTCCGCTTTTAGAGTGCACCGGCGTGCGTTAGCGTTTGGTAGTCGACGAGGGAGCGCAGATCCAGCGTTGAGTAGGGTCGATGTAGCGTCGGCTGCGCCGGTTCAGCGTTGCATAGCGTCGAACAGCGTCGGTTCGCAAAAGCTAACAAGATGGTCCGGGAGGCTCCCATGAGCTGCCGCAGAAGGGAGGATGTTCGGCACGATCGACATGGGTACGGGAAGAACGGGGGCGAACACCGACAGTATTTCCTGCCCGCTTTGAGCGGGACTCGCCGTCGGCGTCGCCGCGGCCGTTGTCGGTTTGAGACAGCAGGGCGCCCGCCCCCAAAAAAAAACGGATGCTGTCGGTTTAAGGTTACATTTGCTGCTGGGCATCGTGCCCATGTTTTACCGTACCCATTTATTTCGGGTAACCAAAGAGCAGGGGCTGACTGAAACAGGGTTTAGGCGATTTCGTGGGCCGTTTTCGTTTCGGTTTTGTTTTCCAGTAAAGGCGGACAGACGACAAAACGAGGGAGCACGAAAACAACACGCAAACGAAAAACACTGTTTAGGTCGATCCCTGCCACAGAGGAGGAGGAGGAGAAAGGGTGGGTCTTTCCACGGGCTGAGCCTTCCGCAGGCCATTCGGGCTGCTGGGTGGTCCTTTTTTTTTTTTTGAATTTTCGTTTTAGCTCTCCGGATTTTCCACGTGTGGGGGTGAGCCATCCGGGTTTCCACGTGCGGGGTGCCCCCCCCCGTGCGGGGTGCCCCCCCCCCTCGCGCATGCGAGGTCGCCTCGCGCGCCCATTTTGCTCATGGAGTGTGGCCTCGGGCTGTCTGTCTCGGGCAAAAGGGAAGAAAAGCAGGATATCCTTTCCCCTTCCCGTTCCCTTCTTTCCTCGGCCCGCCCCTGCCCCCCCCCACCCTCCCCCCCTCTGCTTCGGATGGTCCCAGTCCCGCAGCTGGGGGGATCAACCTGTAGCGCTGCGTCGGCCGATAATACGGGTTGACCAGGCGCGCCGAGGTCTGCGAGGTCTGCGAGGAGGAGTAGGCACCCATGCCGCCACACTTGCCGCGCTCTCGCCTCTCACACGGACGCCCCTCGAGAGGCCCAGGAGGGCGAAACCGAGGCGAGGGGCGTCCGCGCGAGCAGGTGTGCCAGCACGGTCTCGGCGATGGCGGGTCTCGCAGGTCGGAGGGCGCCATGTCTACGGCTGCATTCGCCGCGAAAGTCTGGTCAGGACGCCACCCCAGACCCCCTCGAGTTATGAAAAAATTACGACGGGAGGTTTTTCATTATTTTTGGCCTCTGGGGGCCCTTACCGGCCCTCGGGACCGTCAAAAAGCGACTCAGGACGAAAAACCGGTCCTGGGGAATGGGTCGAGACCTCGGGGGGTCGACGTCATGAAAAATTCACGACGTCGGGGGTCTGGAACCCCAGGAAAGGCCCGGGGAGGACCACGGCAATCGGCAGTTCTCGTGCTGTTTCTCTCCCAGAGGCGAGCGGCGACGCCCGACGGGCCGTCTCGGTGCTGGGGGCCTTCGTCCGCGACCTCGGCACGGCCGACGGCTCGGGGGAGGGGGTCGGGCGCTACGAGCTGCTGCTGCACGCGCTGGCGGAGCGGAGCCTCGCGGAGTATCTACAAGCCTCGTCAAAAATATCTAGAAATAGACGTTGAAATCCTGGAGCACGATGCTTTCGGGAACTTGTCAGAAAGCGCGCTCTTCAATGCTGCGAGGGCGGGGTCGGTTTTTGGACAACGCCGTGTCCGAGCCAACAGGTATCCGTCAGCATTGGAGTAGCGCTGACCCCACAATCACCGACTACAGAAGTCTTCTGTTTATTTTTGACGAGGCTTGTAGGGGAACGAAAAATTGCATAAACATAAAAACTCGGAGATCCGCGCGGATTTTTTGGATCCGCGCTGGACCCCCCTCCCTGGCGCGCGGAGCGCGCCAGGGGCGGCGCCCGAGACGCCGCCAGAGGGCCCTAGCGCCGATCCGAGAAATCCGCGCGGACCTCCGAGTTTGTGTGTTTATGATGTTCTTCGTCCCCCTATGTATCGGTCGCAGCTGCGCCGGCAGCACTGGACCTGGGAGGGCTCGCAGCACGCCGGCGCGGAGAACTGGATGTGCCTGACGTCCGCCGAGTCGCACTGGTGGGACGCGTCGTGCGCGTTCTCGGACGGCCAGGGGACGGTGGAGGTCGAGGGCTTCCTGTTCTCGATGAGCTCGTACTCGCTGCGAGTCCGGTGCTTGGTTCCAAGCCGCTTCGCCTTCGCCAGCAAGCTCGAGGTGTCCCTTGCTCTGCGCGAGGCGAAGACCGGTTTCACGGCACGGCTGCTGGTCCCGCTGTGCCGGCGCACGGGTCGACCTCTTCGTAATGTCACAGTTTGCACGAAGCCGCTTTTCAAGAGCGGTGAGTTGTTGGAAAAAGATCCAGACTTGATTGACAACTGGATAGAGTATCACAGGCTTTTGGGCGTCGACCATTTCCAGATATACGACACAGACGGAAGTTTCTCCCACTCCTTTCCAAATGCGGTGCAGGGCTCAGTCACGTATGTGGGTCAGTTTCCTGCTCTTATCTCAGAAAAATTCGCAACGTTGGAGAAAGAAGGCTTCCACAGTTGTCTCATCTCGCAATCCTACGACCATTGTTTCTTTGAGAATGCGCAAACTTCTCGCTGGGTGTTGCATTTGCACGCCCCAGATAGCTATGTCCACACGACGCAGCCTGAGATGCGGATACCTACTGGTCTTCCAGAGTGGTTGGGGAGGCAGGAGTCTGATGTTTTCCATGGCCGTCTTTGCGCTGTCTCGCTTCGGGCCATGTGGATCGGTGGGCAGAACGCAACCTCCAACTCCGACCGACCCGTTTTCGCGCGATACCAGTATCGTTTGCCAGACGCCCTGGAGGCGTGGAACCGGAGCGAGACGATAATGAGGACGTCCCACACCGTTTACCTTGGAGGCCACAAGCCGCTGTGCAACCACCGCACCTACACGCTCGCGGCCCCCTCCGATAGTTGGCGCATGAACCACTTCGTAGATATGGATCGGACCCCGTGGGCGGAAAACATCCGTATCCACGGCCTCCGGGGCTGGGGCCCCCGCGCGACCCCGTCGATGTGGGGGGCATGTGTTGTTCGATGATGCCCCGCGCGGAACGGACCCATGCGAGCGCGTACCCGCCCCAGAGTCCAGACCGCGAGGGCGAGGATCTGCCTTCAGATCTGACGTTGCAAACAGTTGGCAACATCGCAGAAAAACCACCCCGGAAGCGCCAGGCCCAACCTCTCTCCGCGTCATCTTTTGCGAGCCGGATCGATCCGTGACTCCCCCGGGGTCCGCAACCGGGCGCGAACACGCCTGCGGTGAACAAGTGGCAACGCCAGGATCTCAGGGTGCCTCTCCCTGAGGAGGAGGAGGAGGAGGAGGAGGAGGAGGAGGAGGAGGAGGAAGATGAGGAGGAGGAAGAGGAGGGAGGAGGAGGAGGAGGAGGAGGAGGAGAGGAGGAGGAGGAGGAGGAGGAGGAGGAAGATAAGGAGGAGGAGCAGGAGGAGGAGGAGGAGGAGGAGGAGGAGGAGGAGGAGGAGGAGGAAGGAGGGAGGAGAGGAGGAGGAAGAGGAGGAGGAGGAGGAGGAGGAGGAGGAGGAGGAAGGAGGAGGAGGAGGAGGAGGAGGAGGGGGAGGAGGAGGAGGAGGAGGAGGAGGAGGGAGGAGGAGGAGGAGGAGGAGGAGGAGGAGGAGGAGGAGGAGGAGGATCTGCCCGCTGCCCGGGAGGACCCGCTGCGAGGGCTGCGTCGTCTTCGACCCGAGCTCCGGCTGGGCCGCCGGGCTGCTGGCCGCGGGCCACGGCGCGCCCGGCCGCGGCGGCGGCCCCGCCGCCGACGGTGCGGCGGCAGCGACGGTCTGCGCCGCCGAGCCCGGCGGGCGGAGGGCCGGCCGCGAGGGCCCCGAGGCGTCTCGGGAGCCTCATGAAAAACTCACGACGGGAGGTTTTTCATTATTTTTGGCCTCCGGGGGCCCTTGCCGGGCCTCGGGACCGTCAAAAAACGACTCAGGATGAAAAGCCGGTCCCGGGGAAGGGGTCGAAACCTCTGGGGGTCGACGTCATGAAAAAATCATGATGTCGGGGGTCTGGGGACGGGGGTCAGTGCAGACGGGGGTCAGCCAGCGCGCCGGATCCTGCAGGATCATGCGAAGACCCCCTCCGGCGGACCTGGGTTAGCGAGCCGCTCGTGGCCGCGAGGCGGCCGCGCCTATTGGCTGACCCGGGTCTGGATTGACCCGGGTCAGAAGATCCCCGAGCTTCTGAACTCCCAGACGGGGCTGGCAAGGGGGGCTTTTTGGACGGCGGGGGGTCCCGTTAGAAGCGACGGGGTCAGGTCCCAACTGGACGGCTCAGCTCCCCCACCAGACCGGTCAGGCCCCAGCAGGCAAGAGCACCGGAACGGTTCAGGTCCCAGCCGCCGGGAAGCGTCTCTGGTTAACATTGTTTTCTGCATGGTCGTGTTGGCAATGAAAACGGAAGGGTATCCCTTCAGAGGACTCATTCGGGTTTCTTAGTGCGCAGTTGGGATCTAAACCGTTCCACTGTCCTATCATATGCGAGTACTACGTGCTCCAATCTTGTCGTATTGAGGCTCAAGACACTCCTGAACGGCAGCGTATACGAACGTATACGAAACGTGAATGGAACTTATACCACACGTATACGAAACGTACGGGACACGCATACGAAGCTTATAACACACACAATTATGCGAAACGTGTGAAACGCAGGCGAAAAGTGTGCGAACCGTACACGGAACGTATATGACACGCAGGTGCAACGTAGATCAAACCGTATCCGAAACGGATACGACACGTACATGAAACGCACATGCAACGTATTGATTGCGTACATGAAAAGTTTACTAAGCGCTTATGCAACGCATCGGAAATACACATTTGAACCGTACATGAACCACATACGTAACGAATATGAACTGTGTGTGACACGAATCGGAAACGCACGGGATACGCACGTGACGCACGCAACACACAAAACACAACACACAACACACAACACACAGCACATAACATTGCACACAACAACACACGACACACAACACACACACACACCACACAACACACAACATGCAACACACAACACACACACACACCACGCAACACACAACACGCACACACACACACCACAACACACATGGCACGTACTTAGGATACGTATTTGAAGCGAATTGGGAACGCTTATGAAAGGCGTACTAGACTTGTATGACAAAGATACGAAACGCATCTGGGGAAGCATCGTTACGTATATGGAGAGTACTTGCTTCGTATATGAGACAGGTAGCGTCGCATTCAGTGTTGTATTCCCATCGGAACGCACACTGACAAAAGTTATTAATGCTGCCGGGGGCTATGGTCGGCGCATTCCTGGTTGAATTCGTAGTGAACAAAAAATTGAGCATGCAAGACTGGAGTTGGCGAGTGGGGTCGACCCAATTCATATTGACTACCGAACGATAAAACAACACGTTGAAAACTAAATGATTATGTTGGAGGCTGGGATCGGCGGGTTCCCTGTTGGATTCTGTATAGGAGAGCAACGAAAGCATTTGAGAATCCTGCGTGGGGCGAAAATCTGCTCATTTCTCATTGAAGTCCGAATGGAAAAAAGCTGAATTTTGAAGAATTCTGCTGGAGGCTCTGATCGGCGCGTCTACTATTCATGGACTTCCCATTTTTAACAAAAAACGTGGAACAAATTCTGCCGAAGGCTAGGAACCCGCGTTTCCGAGTGTTTTTTTTGAAGAGACAACGTAAATTATTGAAAGTATCTTGCGGGTGGTTGGGATCGGCGCATTTCCGAGTGGATTCCGATTGAAAACCACATAGAGTATTGAAGAATGTTGCTGGAGGCTGGGATCGACGCGTGTCAGAACGAATCCAGATTGGAAGCAAACAAACAAGTAACATGTTAAATGATTTTGTTGGGGGCAGGGGCCCGCGCATTTCCGGAGGATTTCTCTGTTGAACCAACAATAGCAGCACGTGAAAATCTTGCGGGAGCCTGGAACCGGTGGCGCATTTATTATTGAAGTCCGGGTGACCAACACCGATCGATAATTTTCCAGCAGGAGCTTGGGATTGTCGCGTGTGAAATTGGGTTCCGACTGATAAACAAATACGAAATTCCGATTGACAAGCAACAAGAAGATCACACAATATTTCAGGAGGCTCGGATCGGCGCACTTGCGATTGAAGCCGTGTTGAAATATACATAGCAGATCAAAGAGTCATGCGGGAGGTTGGGCTCGGTGCATTCGAACGCAGTGACCGAGTATCCAAACCGTATCTAACACCTTTACACGTATGCACAATGTAACACAGAGTGTAGACGACACGTTCGTGACATATGTTCAATCAAGACGACGCATACGGCACGTGTTACTTATAACAACGAAGCACACAGCATGCATCTACAGACTGCAGATAAAACGTATACAAGAGGGGGCCCAGGGGGGGGGGGTCAACAGGAGGAGGCGGAGGAGGAGGATGAGGAGGAGGAGGGGGAGGAGGAGGAGGAGGAGGAGGAGGAGGAGGAGAAGGAGGAGAGGGAGGGGGAGCTTTCCGCTCCAAAATGGCCCCAACAGCACCCCGGGGACGCCCACGAGGCGCCCGCCCTGCAGGAGGGCCCCCCCCAACAGTCCCCCTGGGGAAGGCAGCCAGGGGGCCCCGAGAGCCCCCCCCTCGGGAGGCCCCAGAAGGCCCCAAGACTGAAGTCGGGCATGTCCCCTCTACGGGAGGAATGTTCAAGTGACGATTTTGGTTTGACTATTTCAGATCATGCTTGGAGTATGTTTTTTGACCATTTTTAAGATTTCGTCCAAAACCCGCGTGTAGGAGGACATGCCCGACCTAACCCAAGACCCAAGAGCTTCACGAGAGCCCCTCCGAGGGGCACCCCGACAGACCCTGGTATCCATCCAAGAGAGGCCCCTGGCCCCCGCCCACACCGCAGCAGGCAGTGTGGCGGAGTGGGCCCAGGGTCATTATAAGGTAGTTGCAGCTCCCACAAGAAGCTACTTCTCCACCCTCGTCCCTCCTTCTCCACCCCTGGCACGCCCTCCGAGACCGCCGACGGCGGCGCGAGCCCTTCAACAACTGGGGACAGAAAGGCGTCACATGTGATAGCCGTCCTCGCCGTCCTCCTCATCCTCCTCCTCCTCCGCACCACCATCAGCATCACAATCACCATTGCCACCACCATCATCGTACTCGTCGTCATTGTTGCGGTGCTCGTTGGCATCATCATCGTCCTCACCAGCATCATCGTCATCCTCATCCTCGTCGCCATCAGCATCATCATAGTCATCATCACATTCGGCATCCTCCATCGCCCGCCCCAGTCATCTGCCTATTCTTCCGCTGGTGCTGCTCCTCATCATCCTATCTCATCCTGCTCCTCCTCCCCCCCCTCGTCCCCTATCTCCCCGGGGGGGCCCCTGCCCTCCGCTCATGACAGAGCGCGTCGGCGGCGGCGACCGACGATCGACGACCGAAGAAGACGGCGACGAGGACGAGGACGAGGACGAGAACGATGACGCCTGAAGACTGACGACGACGATGAATGACGACGACGAGAGATGCTCTGCATCCTTCGCTTTCCCTCTGCTCCCTCGTCCCTCCCTCGCTCTCCTCATCGATTCTCCTCCTAGTCCCACGGTCCTCCCCCTCCTCCAGTTCTTCTATGCGTTAAGGTCTGCAATGAGTGACGACGACGAGTGAGGATGCGCCCCATCGTGACCCAAGATGGCCCCTGGACTTCCCGGGACGGCCCAGGCGGCCAGGAGGGCCCCAAGAGGGCTACGGGAACCCGAACGCGACCATTGACGGCCCCCAGGCGGCCCCAAGGGATCCCCAGGACTGCCCCACAGGAGTCATGGTCATGATCATCACTAGCATCATGGTCGTCACCGCTAGCATCATTGTCATCACCATGCGCATCTCAATCCCACAAATCAAGCTCACCGCCGTCGTCGTCATCGCCATCCGCAGTATCATCACCACCACCTCATCACCACCGCTACCATCAGCATCATCGTCCCCCCCCCCCTTCTCCTGCTTCCTCCCTTCCCTCTGCCCTCATCGTCCCCCCCTTGCTCCTCCCTCATCCGCAATCTCCGAAGGGGGGTCCGGCGAAGAGTTCCGGAAAGTGGGGATGGCGGGAGATGAGGGAGGAACATGAGGAGAATAATCAACATGTCACGAGATGGAGGGAAATCAGTCAGTCGTGGGGCGGCGGGGCGCGCGAGCGAGAAAGCAAGGCGGAGGCAGCCACCGCCGACGAAGAGCGACGACGACTAACGACTATCAACGGTGACGGCGAATGGGGAAGCACGACGACGACGACGACTACGGCGAAGAAGCACGACGACGAGTGACCACAGACGACCGACGGCATGACCACTGACACCACTACGGCCGAGAATATGGAAGCAAAACGAAGCTCGGGGGAGGGAAGGCGGGAGGAATGTCGGGGAGGAGGGCGGGGGGGTGGATGTCCAGGCTCCCAATGGTGCCCAAAGATGGCCCCAGATGCGCCCAGGAGGCCCGAGACCCCAAGAGGCCCCAAGATGTCACCAAGAGGCGCCCACGAGAGCCCCAAGGGTCCCAAGAGGCACCCACGAGGCACCCAAATCTCGCTCCACGAGGCCTTTGGAACCGCCGAGAGGCCCCCACGATACCCCAATGGGTCCCCGAGAAACTCTAAAGAGACATCCGAAGAGACTCCGAGCGACATCGAGAAATCTCTGGCTTTTCTGCTCGTCCTCCTCCTCCTCCTCCTCCTCGTCTTCCTCATCCGCCTGTTCCTCCTTCCTCCCCCTTCCCTCCCCCTCCTCCTCCTGCTCCTCCTCCGATTCCTCCTCCGTCCTTCCCCCTTTGGGCACGGCGAGTTTCCTAGCTTATTTTCAATGGCATTCTCCTGCACATCCCTGATCAAGGCAACTCGCCTGGGCATCGTTTCTGAATGGGCTGGTGGGCTTACGCGAAGCGTCTATCATTTCAACATAACGCTGCGTACCAGTCAGCCTGGGCACGCCTTGTTTGTCGAATCCGCCACCAATGCGGCGGTGAGCTGTGTCAGCACATGAGGTCCGCATGGCAGCTCCGTGGGAGTGGCGCTTCATGGATCTTCGGCATGCCCGGCGCAGGGCCTCGCCTCGAAACCGAGAGCCGCAGGCCGCGCTCGAGCGGGAACGCCGCGAGAAGAGAGTCCTTCAGAAATCTTGTAGGAATCCGTCTGGACTCTTCAGGAGTCCCCCAGGGATCCCTCAGGGGTCCCTCAGGAATCCCTCAGGAATCCCTCAGGAATGCGCCAGGAACCCCGCAGGAATTCCGTAGGAGTTCGTCAGGGGTCTTCAGGAAATTGTCAGGATACCATAGGAACGGTCAGGAATTCCCAGGAGTCCCTCAGGACTCAGGAATCATCCGAAATCGTTGGAATCTTTTGTAGGGATCTCCAGGAATGATTTCGGAATTTTCAGAAGTCTCCAGGATTCCCTCAGGAGTTCTCAGACACCCTTTGGAAGCCCGCAGGGATCAGCAGGAATCCTACAGAATCCTCAAGAATCCATCAGGAATCCTTCAGGAATCCTTGAGGAATCTCTTCGGAATCTCAGGTGTCCTACATGAATCCATAGGAATCCCTCACGAAACCTCCAGGATTTGTTCTCAGAGTCCTTCAGACATCCCTTAGGACTCCCGCAGTCAGAAACCTTGAGGAATCATGCGGGTTCTTCAGGAGCGCGTCAGGAATCCTGAGGAATCCGCAGGAACCTCCAGGAATTCGTTCGGAACCTTCCATCAGGAATCCAGAGGAATCTTCCAGGAATCCACGAGGAATTCGCAGGAATCCGCCAGAATTCTCGAAGTCGAGGAGGCGCCTTCTAGGAAACGCCTAGGTAGCGCTTCGCGCCCTTGGAAGTTCAATGGGGATTTGGGATTGGAAGCTCCGTGTGTAGCGATTGGCTCTGTTGGGATCTGATTATTACCAGTTAGGCCCTGACCCGTCTAGTTGGGATCAGAACCATCTGGTTGGGATTTTAATATTTTGCCTTGTCAGAAGCGCCTGGAAGCTTCTAAGACGCCTCCTCGGGAGCCTCCAGGGCCTCCCAAGAAAGCCCCTGGGCTCCTTAGAATGCCCCCCCCTCTCGTGCCACCCCTTTGTGTAGAGGCCTCCCAGACGGGGGTCCGAGTATGGTAGGTTCGCGTCGCGTCGACCGGCGGCGATTCCGCCGCCCGCGAACACCACCAGTGACCCAGAATCGACTGACATGGAACGAGCCAGCAATCATCGAAAAGTCGTCGATCGTTCAAGGTTGAAAGATCCACGCGGTGTCAGGAACCAACGCTGGATAGACACGACGTGAACTTGCGGTAGACGGGGTCGGAGGATCGCGCCGCATCGTCGGCGCAGCGGCGATGCGGCTCGATGTGGAGCCTGATTTTCTCCAAGCCGACAGTCGCCGGCGCATCGCCAATGCAGCGCCGATGCATCGGCGAGGCATCGGCGAGGCAGCGCGAGACTCCGACGGCATCCAGGGGGCCCCCGAAAGGCGGCGCCTCTGCAGGGCGCGGCGGCCGCGGAGGAGTTCGTGCGCCTCGCGACGCGGCCGACGGGCTCCAGCCTGCTGCCGCCCGTATCCGCGGCGGAGATCGTCAGGAGGAAAAGAGACACACAGACACAATGAATCCTCGATTCCCCAGAAGATGTGGGAAAATACGGGAAGTGGGCGGGAAGACAGAAACCCAGAAGATGCGGGAAAATATGGGGGGTATGTTTATTTGTGTGTGCTTGTTTGTGGGTCCTTGGGCCCCTTCAGATCGGAGGGGATAGGCTGGCCCAGGCCTCCGAAGAGGCGAGTTTTTTCCGGGCCGGGCGAGCGCTGTCCTGATTTTTGTTGACCTCTTGGGGGGCGCCTCTGCGGGCCCCGAGGCCCTGGCTCGCGGAGCGGGGGCGCACCCCCTTCCCGGGGAAAAGCGGTCGGGACCTCGAGGACAGCAGAGGGAAAATAACAAAAAGACAAAAGACAAAAAGACAAAATAACAAAAATACAACAAGGCAAAATAACAAAAAGACAAAACAACAAACAAAAAAAAAGGCTGGCGGGATCCCCGAGGATGCCGAGGCCGGTGCTGCTGGCCTGCTTCCCCGCCGCCATGGCTGGACTCGCCTCGACAAGCGTGGTCGGAACGCACCCCAGGATCGCGGGCGATGTTTCTCCCCGAATCCCCGAGTTTCGCCCGAAAAGTTTGGCCGCTCAGACAAATGGGAAAACCCTGGGATACACCCCAAGGGGGCGATTCGGACGCACCCCTATCGAGGATCGGCCCCCCCATCGTACATCCCAGGGTTGGGCCCCAAACTTCTGGTCCACCCGGGCACCCCACGAAGCCTGGGATAGGGGTCGACCTATCCCCTGTTACAGGAGAGGCTCGCGCAGCAGCGGCATCGGTGTTCCAGGAGGGGAAGAAAGCACACAGGCACACTGCATCGTCGATTCCCCCGAACATGTGGGAAAATGTGGGAAGTGGGGGGGGGGGGGGGGGAAGACAGAAATATATGGCTAAAGATGGGGAATCCTGTTATTTGTGTTTCTTTATATTTGTGTGCCCCAGGGCCCCTTCGGTGCTTTCCTCCCCCCCCAAGGATCGGCGGTGGACAAACCTCCCTCTAGTAAACCTCCCCTTGGTGAAAACGGCCTGGGGCCGAAAACGACGGGCCTGGGCCCGCAAAAGTGACGGCCGCGGCGCCCTCTCGCGAACCGAAAACGGCCAAATCCTTCATCGACGTGTCAGGGCAGGAGGTCTGTCAAACTCCGACAGGAGCAGCCCCGCCGGCGGGCGGTGCCGCTCCGCCGGGTGCCCGCCAGCGGGCGCGCCCCCGGCCCCGCGCTGCAGCGCTTCGACGGGGTGCTGGAGCCCGGGGCGGCCGAGAGGCTGCACGGCGCCGTGCGCGCCGGCCGGTGGTGCGCGGAGGGGGGGGGGGTGGCAGCGAGCGTCGAGCAGTGGCGGAGCGTCCTGGCTCGCCTATAGCCTTTGGTCGGGCCTGTCCCCCTACAGGGGGATTTTCGAGGAAAAATAGGAAATACCCCCCAGAATAATCCAAAAATAGTCCAATGATAATATGGGAATTATTTCTTGGAGTATGTTATTGACATTTTTGGGCATTTTTAGGGTATTTATTATTTCTCGTCGAAAATCCCCCTGTAGGGGGACGCCCGACATAACCCTATCAAACAATGTTCTAAGAACCTTTTGTGATTTCCACGAGATGTTCTTGGAACGTTTCTGGCGGAGTCCGTCTTGCTTTAGCACATCGGGCTTATGCTCTAAGAACACGGTTCTTGTTCTTAGAACACTTCTGGGCTCTAGGACTGTAGGAATGCAGGGACGGTCGGTCCCTGCTCATGATCGGGGCTCAAGGGACCCAGACCCCCTCGAGCGATGAACAAGAAAAAGAACGACGGGAGTCTTTTTACAATCTTCGGCCTCTGGGGGCCCTTCCCGGGCCTCAGGACCGGCAGAAAACACGGCTCAGGATGAAAAGCCGGTCCCAGGGAGTCTGTCGAGGCTTCGGGGGTCGACGTCATGAAAAAGTCATGACGTCGGGGGTCTGGGGACGGGGGTTAATGCAAACGGGGTCAGTCAGAGCGCCGGGTTTGGCAGGATCCTGCAGAGCCCAGGGTTTGTATTGACCCTGGCTTGGGCGCAGGATCCTGCAGGATCTTGCAGGATTCTGCACAGCCCGACTGACCCGGGTTTGCATTGACCCAGGTTAGTAGATCCCCGAGCAACGATCGGGGGCTACAACGGGTGTGGTTACGCCAGGGTGTGGTTTGCGGTCTGCGTCGTTGAGGCCTGGGGGGCCCCACGTTGCCCTCGTCGGTGCGCGGCGCAGCACTCTGTCGATGTCCTCGCCCGCCCCCACCTGGTGCGGGTTGCAGACCACACCTGTCGGACCCGTCGAGACGATGCAGGCCCGCCTCGCTCTCCCCCTCCCTCCTCTCCCCCTCCTGGAGGAGGAGGCAGCCATCCCCGAGCAGGAGAGGGGGGATAATGGAGGATGACGATTAATAAATGACCGGGGGTCGTGTTCACGCGGCGGCGCTTGGGATGACGATTAGAAAAAACCGGCCGCGGGCTGGAAAACTATTTCTTTAGTCGTTCTCCCCCAGCCAGAAAATTGTGCAGAAATAGCAGAAAGCTATTGTTTAAAATCGTTCTCTCCCATGTTTTAGGAATCGTCATCCCGCATCAAGGAGGAGGAGGCAGAGGTGGCTCTGCAGAAAAGCGCCCGATATGCCCAGGTTCCTGTCCGGCTCGCATCTCTTCGAGGCGTCGCTCGACGAGCTCGACCGCGGGCGCGCCCACGGCGGCCCGGAGGCCGAGGAGGCCGCGGGGCCGCTGCTCGAGGCGGCCGCGCAGCGGCTGCCTGGCCCGGGGGCCCGCGGCCGCGCGCGGGCGCTGGGCCTCCTGCGGCACGTGGACGAGCTCCTGGAGCCGAGGCGCGGGCCCTGGTCGAGTGCCCTCCACCTCCTCCTCCTCCTCCTCCTGCGCCTCATAGTCCTCCTCCTCCTCCTTCTGCTCCTCCTCCTCCTCCTCCTCCTCCCTCCTCTCCTCTCCTCCTCCTCCTCCTCCTCCTCCTCCTCCTCCTCCTCCTCCTCCTCCTCCTCCTCCTCCTCTCTCCTGTCTCCTCCTCCCCTCTCCTGTCTCCTCCTCTCTCCTGTCTCCGCTCTGCCCCTGATATTGTGGGGGGCGATCAGTGGAAAGGAAGCATGTTGCCGAATAATGTCCAGAGGTCTAAAACATGTGTGAAGCATGTTCTAAACATCTGTAAAAGCATGCTTATATCATTTCTCCTACATTGTAAACACAGCTTGAGTTCAAGGATATGACTGTTCGGGTGTCCATTGTCGTGGCATCCACAACCCTTATAAATTGGCCATTCGCCAGAGTGACCCCTGGTGTGGGCGCCCTCCGATGGTGGAACGCAAGGCGACAGCAGTGGCCTGCGCGCCCGGGAGCGGCCCCTTGGCGCCACGCCAGCAAAAAAAAACGCGCACTGGAGGGTCACCCTTGCCTACAGTAGGGTCGCTCCTATACGCGCGGCCAGACTGGGGAGCCGGCGGCGCACGCAGTCAAGGCCTCCCATCGGTACAGTCGAAATGGGCACGGCACGAAGACCGGCAAGCACGAAGACCCGCACCGAAAATCGGGCGGGTGGTAATAATGGGAGGCTTCTCAACCGGGAGGGGAAGCGAAGGGCCCTGAAGGGGTCTTCTTTTTCACCCCCCATCTAGGTCACCCTCCACTACCACTTACGTACCCGATTTGAGCAAGATTCGCTGTCGGTTTCGCCGCGGACATTGTCCATTTGACCAGAAGGCGGCCTGCCCAACAGCGGCCTGCCCAACAGCGGCCGTGTTAGGCATCGTGCCAACTTTTTCCGTACTCATTTCGCGCGTCCAAATTCCAGGTGGGGTCACATCAGACCTGGTCGGGAGATCGCGCTGCGTCGCCGATGCATCGGCGATGCGGCTCGATGTGGAGCTTGATTTTCTCGTATTTTCTGTACGCCGACGTCGCTGATACATCGGCGATGCGGCGCGACTTTCCGACCCTATCTAATCTGGCCCCATCTGGGAGGCCTCTACGCACGGGGATGGCACGAGGGGGGGACCTTCTAAGAAGCCCATGAGCATCTTAGATCTTAGAAGGCAGGGGCTTTCTTGGGAGGCCTTGGGGTCTCTTATGGAGGCTTCTTAACTGCCTCCAGGCGCTTCTAAGAACCCCCCGGGCTTCCAAGAAGCCCCTTGGCTTCTTAGAAGCCCCCTCCCTCCCTGGCACCTCCCCCTTGTGCGCACCGCCACGAGAGAACGCCCACCCAGACACGTCGACGGAGGAAGTCTGCACCAGTTGACTCGACATTGGCACTCGAGCGTGCCAGTGCAGTCCCCGGTCCTTCTCGCGGATCGCCGTGCACCTCGCTGGACACATCCGGTGGCGCTTTCGGACGTCGAGCGGCTCATTGCCCCGCGGTGGTCCACTCGGAAAGCGGTTCCGTGCCCCCGTGGAGCGGCCCTCGCAGCTTTCTCTAAAGAAGGGCGTTTTGCTAGATTTGAGTCGGGCCTGTCCCTCTCCACAGGGGGAAAATTCCAAAATAGTCCAAATATTTTCGGAGGACTATTGTGGGGTATCTTTTGACTAATTGCTTATTCTTCGTCGAAGATCCCCCTGTAGGGGGACACGCCCGACTCAATGCTAGATGGCGTTTGGGCAGTCTTCGTGACAGAGGCGGGGCGGGCTGCGCTTCCTCTACTTCCCGCACACCTTCCCGAGCTCCAACGTCCTCGACGGCCTGACCCACGTGGCCGTGGAGTTCGAGGCCTGCCCCCCGGGCGGCCACGCCATCAACCTCGTGCCGCAGTTCAACGTCGGCTACCTCTGATCGGCCTGTTTCCCACCGCCACCACCACCATATGCTGGAAGGGGAGGGGGTCCTCCTCCTCCACCTCCTTCACCTCCACCTCCTCCTCCTCCTCCTCCTCCTCCTCCTCGTCCTCCATTTCCTTCCCCCCTCCAACTTATCGTGGTGGTGGTGGAAAACAGGCCCATCAACCTCCTTCCCGCTAACTGGACGCTCCGGGTGCGCGGGCCCAACGAGCATCTGCCGAGGGATTTGCTGGTGTGCATGTCGGAGGCGGGCCAGTCGAGAAGACGGCGGCTCTCGTCGGCCTGGCCCAGATCTGTGCAAAGCTCGCTCCCAGACCCCTCTTGGGGCCCAGCTTGACCCGTGCTCTGGCACGGATCCAGCTGTGGCGACGAGAAGCTCCCACGGAGGCCCAGCAAATAGGACGAGAGACGCCGCCGCGGCGACGAGAGGCGCCTCCAGGAGGCCCAGAGAGGACGAGAGACGCCAGGGACCCGGACCCCCGACGTCAGGATTCTTTCACTGCGTCGGCCCCCGAGGCCTCGACCTCTAAGCCCGGGACAGGGCTGCTCGTCCCGAGCCGCCTCTGTGGACGGCCCCGAGGCCCGGCAAGGGCCCCCGGAGGCTGCAGATGTCGACGGACCTCCCGTCGCGACTTCTACTCACTGCTCGAGGGGGTCTGGGGAGGGCCCACGTGGCCTCGGCCGGGCCCTCCTCCGAGCATCGTCGTCGAGTTCCAGGTCTCGGAGCGGGGCCCGCTGGCCGCCCTGCCGCCGTGGCCCCCTGCGGGGGCGGGCGCGGCCGCGCCCCGGCTCCGGGCCACCGCGCTGTCCTCCGCTGAGGACGCGGCGTGGCTGCGGCACGTGCACGTGTACCAGCACGTCCTCGACGAGGGCGAGTTCCACAGGCCAGAGGGCGCCACGGATCCAAAGAGGAGAGGTCGCCGGTGCCGCTGCAGCGGAGGCCCATGCCAAGAAGCGCCCTGCTTGCCTTCAGGGCGCCCGGGGTGTCTCGGGCTTCGATGCTTTTTTGGCAGTGGAAGGAGCAACTTTCCCATGCCAGCCAGATAGATATCAATGGCCACCCTGGGGTCTCAGGGTTGTGTTTCTTGTGAAAGGTTTCTTGTGGTCGAGCTCCTACTTTGCCACCCTGTAATTATCTCCGACGACAGGGCTTGTTCAGTTCTGGCATCTGTCCTCGATCTCGGTCTCCGGGGGCCGTTCTCGGGCCCCATGGGGCAACCAAAAATGGGTCCGGGAGGCAAAACTGCCCTCGGGGAAGAGGCCGGGAGGTTTGGGGGCCAGGCCCACTTTAAAATGATCAGGTCGGAGCGTGTTTGGGCTTTCCACGTCGCGACGGCTGGATTCGCTTCCTCTGGTCAGAACGCACCCCCTGGAGAGTTCTTGGGCATTGCGGCATCGGTACCTTTCTGCTCTCCCCACGCAAGGCTCAAGTACGCCGGAGCTCGGGTTTGCCGACGCTTTTTGACGAGCGCGTCTGGATTTTGACGGTCCAGCTTTGGTGGGATGTCTGCAGCTGGAGCTCGCGTCAAGTTTCAGAGTCCGGTCTCGTCATTCTCATGATGGCCCTGTCAGGCCAGCCCGAGGCCCCCGTGCCCGAGTCTTACGTCTCCCCGAGTGTAGGGACCTTGCCGCCCTCGAGGCTCCGCTCCGCCGTCCGCTCGGAGCCCTGGACGTGGGTCGGCACGCCCGGGACGAGCTTCCGGCAGAAGGTCGACGACGCGCCAGACGACGCCATGCACACGAGCGCGGAGCTCCTCGCGGCGGTGGGGCCGCTCCTCGCCGCCGCGGCGCAGATCGCCGAGGACGCCTCGGGACACCAGGCGAGCGACGCAAGCAGAAAGCGGGGTCGTTTGCGCCTTAAGTAAACGGACCCCAGAAGCGGCAGGGCTGGTTTTCGCACCGATTCAGAAGAAAAGCGTCTCTGGAACATGGAAGCAAAAAGAAACGGCGACCGGAGACGGCAAGCATAAACGGCTCCGGGATGGGAACCCGAGCCGGACAGAAAACGGCGACGGAACCGGCCAAATAAGGCGTCGGAACCGGCAGAAAAGACGGCAAAACGGAACCGGTAAAAAAAACGGCCCTGCTGTTTCCAGGGCCCACTGAGAGAGCTCGTAACCTGCACGCGCAGGGTCGCGCGCGAGCTCCCTCGTCTCCAAAGTGGCGTTCCGCTCCGGCGGCCTGCGTTAGCCACCGCGGCAAAGTCGATGCGCCATCTCGCGTAAGGCCCACTTCTCGGATAGGAGATCGACGACAAAATTGAATGACCCCAAAAGCGTTTGTCCCCGTCGAGTCAACTGAAGCAACCTCTACAAGTCCGCACATCTACGAACAGTCGAAGTCTTTTCCCGTAGATCCGATGGGGGTTTCAAGTTTGGGCTAAATCACTGCTGCAGTCGATCCCTTCTACTCGAGCTCCTTCTCGTCGCCCAGGTGGCGTTCTACAACGGCAACGTCCTCTACCGCGCGCCGGGGCACGAGACCCCGCTGCACCAGGACGTCTCCCCGGTCGTGGGGCGCCTGCCCGGCGCGGAGGACCGCAGTGCGGAGGGGGCCTCGGCTGCACGCATGCAGAGGGCGACCCTTCGCCGGAGTGGCCTTCTGGTGTGGGCCCACTGGGATCTCCTCGGGACGACCGACATGGGTACGGAAAGAGTGGGTACAAAGACCAACAGCAGTTCTTGCGGCGTCGCCGCGGATTGTGTCCATTTGAGACAGAAGGTCGCCTGCCAAAGAGCGGCCGCTGTTGGTTCGGGACAACATTTGCCATTGGGCATTGTGCTCATTGTTTCCGTGCGCATTTCGGGCGTCCAGATCTCCCGTTGGCCGGACGCGGCGCGGTATAGAAGCGCCCTGCGCGCCCGTGTCGGGCCCCCCCCCCGCGGCCTCACCGCAAGCAGGCCGCGCACCAAAGCTGGCGGCGCGCAGAGGGGGGGAGGGGAGAAGCAGGCTGCTTCTTGGACGCCGCGGGCCTCGCATTTTCACACGAGGCCCGCGCCTTCTAAGAAGCAGGGGTGCTTCTAAGATTAAGTCGGGCCTGTCCCTCTCCAGGGGGAATATCCAAAAATAGTCAAAACAATTGTCGGGGGACTATTTGGGGGGGCATTTTTTGACCATTTGGGAGCATGTTATTCGTCGGAAATCCCATCTGCAGGGTGAATTTCTACGAAAAATAGAAAGTACCCCAAAAGGTAAAAAAAAACTCCAAACATAGCCCCCTGATTATTTTTGGACTATTTTTTGATTATTTTTGGGGTATGTTTTTTCCCTGTCGTCGAAGATCCCCCTGCAGGGGGAGAAGGCCCGACCTCAAAGAGGCCTCCCCCCCTCCCCCTGCCCTGATGGTCCGCTACCGAAAATTTCCGGTAGCGTTCCGCAGAGATCGGTCGCTACCGAAATACCGAAATGTAGCGCCCAATACCGGTATCAGAGTGTTCTGAAATCAGCTACTTCAACGCCCTCAAACGAAGATCCGGTCGCTACCGAAATTCGGGGTGCGTCGAAATTGCTACCGAAAATTTCCGGTACCAGACCATCTGGGTGCCCCCCCCCTCTGCGCCTGGCCAGCGGAGGCCCCTCCTGCTGCCCAAGGGGTCGCTCTAACGCTGCGCGCCGCCGGGGGCGGGCGCCCGAGCCGGCGGCGGGCCTCCCGCCGGGCCCGAGCCCCGCTGGGCCGGGCGGCCCCCGGGACCCCGACATGGTTCTCTGCACGAACGGGATGGGCACCTTCTTCTCCTCCTCCTCCTCCTCCTTCCCCTCCTCCTTCCCCTCCTCCTCCTCCTCCTCCTCCTCCTCCTCCTCCTCCTCCTCCTCCTCCTGTAGAGAGACAGACCCGACTTAATCCTCGACCTCCTCGTCGAGGTGCTTGGGATCGCAGCGAGTCCTGTTCTTTTTGAACAGGACTCGCTGTCCACGCCGCCGCGGCCTGTGTCCATTCGAGACAGAAGGCCGCCTGCCCAACAGCGGCCGCTGTGGGTTTGGGACGACATTCGTTGTTTGGCATTGTACCCATTCTTTCCGTACCCATCTCGGGCGTCCAAAGGTTCGGTGGCCACGTGCGAACCCTACAGTCGGGGCGCTGAAGAAGGAGCCCTTCTCGTTGGGGAGGGGCTCGGTGCTCCTTGATTGTTCTACAGCTTGCCTTCGGTTTTCATGAGGTTTCCATGGGAGATCGAAGTGTAGCTTATGGGCAAGAGGGGCCTCGTTCCTTATTTAGGGTTCCTTAGGTCAACGCCCCGACTGTACCCCCGCCCCCCACGATTTCTGAGAACGGGGGATTCTCAAGTGGCGGTATGGATGCCGACGCGCGCGACGATTTACTCCCGAGGGGCGCGAGAGTGAGCGAGGGAGAAGGAGGGAGTGAGAGATAGGGAGGAGGCGGTGGAGAGATAGAGAGAAAGAGAGAGAGAGAGGTATGCGGGAGAGAGAGAGAGAGAGAGAGAGAGAGAAAGAGGAAGGAGAAGCGAGGGAGAAGCAGGCGAGAGAGGTAGCCCCTCCCCTCTCTCCTCCCCCTCCCCTCTCTCCTCCCCCCCACCCACCCCCACCCCCCGAGCAGCACGCGGTGGCCCTTGGGGGGGGGGGGGGGGCAAAAAAAAAAACGGCGCAGAGGGGGGGGTCAGACGTTTTTTTTTTTTTTTTTTTTCTTTCTCTGCCCCCCCCAGGGCCACCCCCACCCCCCCCACCAAATTCCTCTTGTGGACGGTTTCAATTGGAATCCTTCTGCAGAGGATTTCAGTAGGAATCACTGTCGAGGGAATTTCAATAGCAACCCTTCTTGTTGGATTTCAATAGGGATCCTTATGTGGCGGATTTCAATGGAAATCCGCCTGAAGATTTCAATGGAAGTCCTTATGTGGAGGATTTCAATCGGAACCCTTCTGCGGAGGATTCCAATCGGAAACGTTCTGCGGGCGTTTCCAAAAGAATCCTTGCGCGGAGGATGCTGTATGAATCTTGCTGTGGATGGTTCCAACGGGAACCCTTATTGCGTAGGATTTCAATACGAATCCTTATGTGGCGGATTTGAAAAGAAATCCTTGTATGGAAGGTGTCGATGTTGACTGCTTGTATAATTTCAATATGAACGCAACACCAAGACAATGCCAATGCACTGGTAGTGCTGTGCCAGCGCTTTACCAGTGCCAGGCCCATCGCAACACCAAGGGGGCACCAATGCTATGCTAACTTTTTGTGGGCGCGTTCACTAGGAATCAGTATGTGGAAGGTTGTCAATCAAAACCGTTGTTTCTTGAGGGTTTCAATGGGAAGGCAATGCTAATGACTGCAAGTGCTACGCTAGCTCTGCTAGCAATGCCAAGGAACACCAGTGGTATGCAATTCTACGCCGTGACCGTGCCAGCGTGTCGCCAGTACAATGCCAGTACAACGCCAGCACTTGGCCAGTGCAATGTCAATCCCCATTCACCGCTATCCAACACGAAATGAATGAACCTTCTTCCCCTTCCATGTTTCAATAGAACTCATGTTGTGGATGATTGAATAGGACTCCTGTTATGGATGATTTCGATAGGAGCCATATGCTGAGAAAGTTGGTAGGAATCCTTCTGTGAAGGGCTTCAGGAGGAATGTGATACAATTCACGTCCAAAGCAATGTGTGTGTCATGCCAGCGTTTTGCCAGCGCAAGGCCAATGCAATGCCATGGGGCACCATTCGTTCCAGAGTTCAATATCCGTATGTGGATGATTGAAGTAGGAATCCTGCTTGTTTGGGGTTTCAGTACGAACCTTCTGTGGAGGAATTGAGTTGGATTCCTTATACGCAGGGTTTCAAGGGGAACGCATGCCACCGCAATTCCA